AGGAGGAAAATCAAACTTTTTCTAAACCTTAGGGATCAAATTTGTAATTTGACCTAGAACTTTTTGTCCGCTAGAATTGTTTGATTTTAAAACTTACCTAAATAGTGGTTTGATAAAACCTTCCTAAATAGTCCCGCCATTATCAAACCATAGGGACTATTCATGAAGCTTTATAAAACCACTATGAACTATTTCTAACCTTTAAATCTACAAGGATGAAATAGAAACTTTCAAAATCATAGGGACCAAATCCTAACATTTTCTAACCATAGGGACCAAGTTGGAATTTAACCTTTAAAAAAAGGAAATCCAAAGTCACCTCTACAAAGAAATAATATCTACAGAAATGAAAAAAAAAAAAAATGAAGGTTCATATTTTTCGTTGCAGAAACTTTGTAGTTTCTAGATTATTATACAGTATAATTGAGTTTATATAGTAGTTTTTTCTCTTATGATCTGCACAAATAAAACATCATTCATCCTAGCAAACAAGAAATGTCAAACATTAGATCCTCTATGATAGCAATTCCATGGAATTAGGCAACAGAATGGGCAAAAAATAGAAGCATAAAGTAACAGAGCAAATATGTGATAAGACAGTTAAAGCAGTTTAATTACACTTCTAGAGATCCGTTGCCCAGCAAGAGAGCAAGGTAGCCCATTCGGTGCTTGCATTTGGCATCACACGCGTTAGTTGGCTTCCATTTCAAATCCCATGCTACCTTTCCATTGTGAGCTAAGCACAATACTACTCTAGGCAAAGCAACACTCTCGGGAATAGAAAATATTGAGCTAGGGTCTAAACCAGCATTCTCTGAAACATTATTGCATAACAGAGTGTCTTCTCCGGAATATTCACTTATAACATTCTCATTTGCCTGAAGATTGATGGCATTGGATTCATTTTCTCGATTCTCTGTAAGTGCTAACGTTCCCACGTCATCAACATGATTCTTAGTCTCAACTTTTCTTCTCATTCTTTTCTTCTGAGCAAGAACTTCATCGTCAGAATTGCATGTAGGAACTTCTTGCAAGGTACTCCTTTCAACACTGTTTTCCAGTAATACATGTTCATCAGAGTTTTTGGCAACAACATCAATCTCAAGCAAGTAAGATGAACCAACTAGGTATTTGACAGAAAGAGCCTGAACAAGTTAGTAATTGTCACACCTGTTATCATTGGATTCTTGTTTCTTTTTAGGTCTTCCTCTAGGTCTCTTTGGTTGAGATGGCAAGTTCGATGCCTCATTTTTCTTACGCCCCGGTGGCCTTCCTCTAGGCTTCCTTGGTTGAGATGATAAGTTTGAGGAAGCCACAGAATTTTTTGTCGGTTCTGCTTCATGGCTTTCAGTGCCATGCACTACGCACCATATCTGCACCATACCTCTTCCGGTGAGTGGGATACCCATCTTGTGATAAGAAGAGCAAGGTGGATGAGCAGAAACAGCAATATACTGTCATATGAGTTGAGACATGAATGATTAAAAACAAAAATGAATAAGGATTTCTGATAAATAGGGAGAGTGTATGAACAACAAGAAGGCAGTGCCTATCTAAGTGAATGAAAATGAAAGCCATAGGTGAAGATGAATAAAACAATATTTTGCACTTACATTATATGAGTGTCCATAACAATTCTACTTCACAAAAGATCAATTGAAGAGGAAAGATACCTCACATTTGATAAGGGAGTCGGTCCTTTCGTGATCTTGAGGACACCAATCTAAAGCCCAAATCGGCCCACCAACATACATAACAAAGTTTCTGTCAAAAAAATCAATAAAATGATTGATTGAGTGTGCATATAAACTGTGAAAGATATAATTACACCAGACACCAAAAATGTAGCTTCAACTCACATACAACTGACAACTCTAGGCCACAAATAGAAACCACTTTAACTAATACCAAAGCAATAAAAAATGAAACATCAAAGTGGCACCGTAAGCAACACGTATTTGAATCCCATCATATACAGAAAGCTCCACTCACAATTGTCTCACGGGGAAGATACCTACTGGAAAGAGCGTAATAACAAATTTTCGTGGTAGACGCAACATACAAATACCCAAAAGTCCTTAGGACCATCATTAAGCATCCATTAGATCAGGGTTCAACTTGACAACCTTGACACTCATACTGAATTTGTTTACTCCTCATATTTCCTACGATGATATCAACAAAAACCATAATTTCCAAACAAACAAACAAGTCCAAAACAACATACCTAAAGTCCAGCGATGTGGCGGCTTCAGGCGGTGCTCCATTCTGCATATTAAATTAGGACTTATGTTAAACAGTTGCAGCTCATCACCGGAAAAGAAGAAAACAGGGAGGGAAAGAGGGCCAAACAAGGAAAAAAAGACTAAGCAGGGGGTATAGTGAAAAAGACAATGCCAATATGTTAGACAAGACTACAAGTCCAATCCAGCACCTTTAGAAAAGCTGCAGACGAAAATTGTGGTAAGTTTACACTGATGTCAGCATCCTTATCCTCGGGGCCCCTCGAGTCGCTAGCAAATTTAACAGTTTTCGGTTCATAATTGTAGTACCTCCATTCCCTAGTAAAGCACAAAAACTAAGTGGAAATTCGCAAAGCAGTGATCGATAATGCATAAAGAAAATTTCACGTCATCTAAAATTCTAATAAGCACACGATATTCAATTCACTGCATGTCAAGCACAAACTACAGCATCTTCAGCTGTTTAACAAGCCATAACTATCAAAGAAACTAATCACTGCAAACAATGCCAGAATCCTTAAGCTACATGCAAAGCACAACGCATCATTTTTAAATAACATGCAACAATACGTACCTTAAGAAAATGGTGGATGATGAAAACCGCTGAATGTCTCTTTCATCAATTTCACCGACGCCATCCTCCCGATCACCACAAAGCTCCGCCATTGTATCAATGGCCTTGAAGTGATTTTCAACGCAATGATCAAACTCTAAAACCTTAATTCCAGGGCCATCGGAACGACCTGCAGCTTGCTCTTCGTTGACTGAAGTAGCCTCCGGTTTCTTCTTTGCTCTGTTTTCCGATTCCTTCTTCTTCCGGCTCACTGGTTTCTTCTTCCCTTTCACACAGCCAGTGCCATTGGAGGCTTCCGGGAGATATGGTTGGTCTTCCATTGCCATACTCAGTAACGTTTGTTAGAGCTGATAGAGATTGAAGGCCTATACGTTTACGGAGATTCGATCCCTAATCGGCACCGCTGTTTAGACGACACTTTATAAAGCCAAGAGAAACGCACCGTTTTGGTGTTTTTAAATTTATTTCCTTCTTGGGTTTGATCTTTTAGCTTAAATTATCTTTTCAATTATAAATTTACTTTATCTCTGATTCGGTAATTTAATTGGAAAAATATTTTTATTGTTTAAGTTAATTTAAAAATAAATTTAGATATTTAAATAATCTATTTATTAAAATAGAATAAAAATAGTATTTTAAATTTAAGAATAACTTCTCAATCTATCTCTCTATTTATTTGATCTAACAGTATTTAAAATTTTAAGTTTAATATTTTTTTTATCACATTTATAATATTTTAATCAATTTAATTATCTTAGGATGTTTGGTTTTTATTCACATGTTTTTTAAGATAAATTTTAAAATATAAAAATATTAAGTAAATTCACTTAATTTTGGAGCGCCATGATTAAGCTCCGAAAATAAAACCACTAACCTTGTTTAGTAATTATCAATTTTTTTTAAACATCTCATAAACTATAATTCCATATTTTTAATACTTCTCTTTTTTTTTTTTTTTTTTTTTAATTTTTAGTGCACCCCCACGTTAAATAAACCGACACGTCAACCCCACACCCTGCTCCTCCGAATACCACGTGGATTCCACGTCAACCATCCATTTTTATATTTACTATTTTGGCTTATTTTACTATTGGCCAAATCATGCAAAAAAAAAAAAAAAAAAAACGCCGGATTATTTTATTATATCCACGTCATCCTTCCATCGAATGCCTTTTTGTGGGTCCCACGTTTCATTCCGGCCCATAGAAATTTATATTCCTAGTATGTTTTTATCTTATTTTTAAAGTTTTATTCAATAATATTATTTTATTGCAAACTTTTCACTTGTCTGTCCAGAATAACTTTTATTAACTTTTTTTATATATAAATAAAATCACTTTTTTTTATTTTTTTTTTACGCTTAAACCCATTTTTAATAAAAAAAAGAAGATAAAAAAAAAAACTTAAGAGAAATTATTCAAAACATGATTTTAAAATAATTAATAAAAAAATTCTTCAATATACGAGGTATTTTATTTTTTATATAATACAATCATATAAATTAACTAATAAGTTTCTATTATTCTATTGTTTTTTTTTTTTTTTGTGTTAATGTAATTATTATATAAATATTTTAGATTATTTTTTGTTAAATATTCCATCTACTTCACTCGTATAAAATTAATAAAGCATAATCACTCTAATATCTTAAAATATATGAAATTAAAATTAATTTATTAATCTATATATTCGTGAAAATAAAAAAAAAATAAAAAAGATTTTATTATACAAACCAATCCATTTTAATCTGCCAAATTTGGGATTTCGGAGAAAATAATGGAACAGTAAATAAAATAATCCTATTTATTATTATTATTATTTGAACAGCCTCTTCAAATATCAACGAGCTAATAAAAAATCATAAATAATATGGAAGAATAATATTTTTTATCGTACAAAACAAATTGTTAAATAAAACAAAGTTTCAGTATAAATATTTGATTTATGTGATTCCTTTTGTTTTTTTTTTTTCTTGGAATATTAAAAATAATAACCCACGTGAGGATATCATTAAACTAATAAAATTTATAAATAATTTTTGTTATTATAAGTCGGGAGATCTAAAATCAATTATAGTATGAAATTAAATATATTTTTTTTTATTGAGATTAAAACAAAGCTGTTACATAATTTTATACTGTTAAAAGGAATTATAGAAAAAAACTTTAAAAAATAATATCATATGGAAATATAAATTTGTAACACAACTACTCATTTTGTTGATAAATAAATTCTATAAAATCTTTGGCATATTGTAAAAGTGACAAACATTTATACGACCATGGTCCATAACGATCTCAACATACAGCAAATTTCATAATTTATTTTGATTTTTTTTCATTCTCGTCGACGTAAACCCGAAACCCGTCAAAGAAGGTGGCGGTGAGGCCAGGGGAAAATCGCGGTGGCGCCACACACGGCGTCACCGACCGAAACCGAAACTGACGAATGAGCGAAAGAGCAACAGTTTTCAACTCAATAACTGCCATTTCCTTCCCGACACAAAACCGAAACCCACCTTGAAAAATCGGGTACTTAAACGGATTCGCCGGACAAAAACCGCCGTCTTTCAACCACCGCTCCGGCTTAAACTCAAGACAATCCGAACCCCAAATCTCCTCGACCCGCCCCATGGCATATGGATGATAAGTGACCCGAGTGCCACGTCGGACGAATGTCCCATCTGGCAACACGTCATCATTCTTGCAAAACTTGGAGTCGAACTGAATCGGCGGGTAGAGCCTCATGGACTCGAAAATGGCAGCTTGTAAATAATAAAGTTTCCGGATTTGGTCGGAATTTATTGGGTCACAACCGGCGCCGATGACTCTGTCGGCTTCGAGTTCGACGGCGGACGCGACGGCGGGATGAGTTGAGAGAACCCAGAAGAAGCTCGTCAGAGCAGAGGCCACCGTGTCGCGGCCAGCTAAAAGGAAGCTGACAACGATGTCGCGTAGGTATGTCTCGTCGGAGACAGTCCGCATGAACTGAGAGAGAAGGTCTCTGCCGGCGGAGATTCCTATTTTTCTTCGCTGTCGGATTACTTCTTGAGCTAAAATGTTAATTAGCTTAATTGCTTGTTTTAATTCCCTCTCGCTACCTGCAAAATTTAAAATTTTAAATCAAAATCATAATGGGTTTATGTTAATTTAGTGTTTATGTACCTAAATTAAGCATTCGCTTGATTTTCCAGATGAACGGAGCGACGGCCATGGCTCGTTGAGCAGAGAGCTTGGAAGCACTATCGAACGCCACAGCAAAATCCGACATCGGAAGAGACAGCTCCAAGCACATCGGATCCAACCCAAACGAGAATTTACAAATACAATCAAAAGCGAATCTTCTAAACACATCTTGCAAATCCACCACCGCATCGCCGGCAGCAGAAACAGAGGAAAGAAGCGGGAGAAGCCGGGAATCAATTTCGTGACGAACAATTTCAAAGCAATACGATCGAATCGGCTGTTTTCCGAGCTCAAGAATGGCCATTTTCTTTTGAAACCGCCATGAATCGCCGTCGACATTGAAAATCCCACGACCGAGAAAATCGCCAAGAATGGAGGAGAAGGATTTTCCTTTTGGGTAATTTTCGAAATTGGTTTTGAGAATGTATTCGACGTTGTCGGGATTGGCCGTAATCGTGTTCCGCAAAACGTGGATGTGAATGGTTTTGGTCGGAGATTTCCGGAGAAGATGGGTGTACCAATCACAGAGATTGCAGAAATTTTCCGACCAAGAGGTAGCCAAATAAGCTTGGCAAATTTCACAGTTGCACAGAAAATTAGTCTTCAAGAAGAAGAAGATTACAAAGAGAAATAATAAAAAGAAAAAGAAAAGGACAATAAATGGATGAACAAAAAAGGGTATTTCCATGGAGAAAAAACAGAGTCCGATGAAGAAGAAGAGGAAGAAGAAGGGTTTTAATGGAGTTTTTACAGTAATGTTTTTTTTTCCCCTTAGCTAAGAGAATCTTTCGTACACACATTTTCTCTGTGTCATGTCTTAATTAAATTCGATTAAATTAGCCTATTTGGTTGGTGATATATATTATTTATTTATTTATTTATTATTATTATTATTTTGTTAAGGGGTTACTACTTACTAGGTGGGATTTTGGTTTATTTTTTTTGGAGTGTGCTGAATAGCTGGATAGATTCGTAAAAGTAACAACTAGAAGGTTGGTAAGGTTCGAGAAGACCCATATAAAACATGTAAAACGTGCGAATTTTTTTAAAACAAATAAAACAACATATTCTAGTAAGGATATTTAATATTAAAATATAATTTTTAATATATATATATCATATTTAATATTTTATTATAAAACAAGAATGTATGTAATGATTTAGTGGCAATAATATTTCTTAATAAAAAAATTTAATTTCCTTTTTTTTTTTCATTGAAAAAGGATTTATTTATTTATTTAAAAAAATGGGGGAAAATGACTCGATGCCAAAACTCAAAATATCATCCAGGTGAAAAACCGTATAAAATTATTTCATTTTATATTAAGGAAAATTGTGTAATAAATATTAATTAATTTTGTGCAAAAATCACCAGTATTTGACTCCCAAACCACATAGCTACTTTGAAATATAACTATAATTAATGGCCTAATTATAAATTTAGTTTATATATTAAATTAAGCCTGCCCTTCATAATTAAAAAATAAAATAAAAAATAAAAAAATAAAGAAAAAAACTCCACACCCAATTAAAAAAATTATTAATGAAAGTTTCGAATATCTTAACTAGTTGACCACTGTGTTTATAAAATAAATTTTACACGTGTCTAAATTCTTTTAATATGAGAGCACCGAAATATATATATAAATAATAATAATTAATGGAAGACCTAACTTAGGTTAAGTCAAATGGTTAATGATATTTTGAGGATTAGGTTGAATTTAAGCTTGGATGGTCAAACAAAATGATGAAGTTGGTCCATTATATAAATATAAATGGTCACATGGGCAAGTTTAATTAGATAGGGAACAGTGTTCCAATTAAGGAATTGTGTAGTTAAAAGAGATGCAATAATGAAGAAATTTGCATGTGGGGATGGCAATTGGCCACCAACTACCATTGGAGACCACTTCTAGTTGCTTCAATTGTTCATACATTTGTGGGGTTGGGCCATTGCCTTCTTGATGTGATTTTCCTCGCTTTGAGTAGTGGCTATCCTTAATTCTAATAATAAATGAAAGACGAGCTCAATCCAATCAAATTTGTCTTGACCGAGCTAACACGTGATGATTTCACTAAAATAGAAAGAACCCATGTGACGACTTTCTTTCCTTTTTCTAAATTATGAATTTGAGATATTCGAACATCTGACTTCTTGGTTGAGTATTAAATTTACGCTTGCCATGTATGTCAGTATATGTTGATATCATGAGATCTGATTTTTATTTTGTTTCAATTATTGAGTCATAATAGTTTCTTCTTTAAGTTGCACGTTTATCCTTTCGCCTAGATGAAATCATGCAATCATGATCTAAGCGTAGGGTTCAAGATAACTATCACCAAGTTACGTGTACGATTGACAAATCATATATTTGTCTTTCATCTTTTTAGTTTTGATATGAATTTATGTCCTATCATCCTTTGAGCTTGTTATTCTTTCTATTAAATAAGGAGATTAAGTGTTCATGATAGTCGATACTATTTTTTCCATCCCTAAAGTTTCAAGTCTATGTCTAACAAATCCCTTTAGTAAAAAAAAGTGTCACCGTATCCTTCAATTTTCAAATTTATAGCTAATAAATTGGTAAATTGTAACATGTTTTAAATTCTGTGTTTAATAGATCTCATTATATTTGAACATTTTTAAAAAAATTAATTCATATGTTCAATTTTATACCGTTCGTAAATTCTAAAGAGTATGAAACTAGAGGAGGGAAGCTATGAGACTATAAAGCAGAGGAGCGACCAGTTGATTTACAAAACTTCGACCCAGTGTCCCATGTACTCCAAGTCCGAAAGGATCCAGTGTCGAACTACTGACTCCTCCCAAAATTGCATTATCGAAGTTGAGCCAGGAATGACCATTAGTGGACACCCACCACTTTTCACACGTTAGAGAGGCCCCCTTTAATACATTAAGAAAAGGTGTTCACTGGAGCAAGAAAGACTCGGTCATAGGAACTTAGACACCACCTACACGCTGGTAAACAAAACGTAAAATCCAAAATATTAGAGTTATCGAACAAAATAAATATTTAGACATGTAGGCATAATAAACATAAACTATTCGGAACATATTATTATCATTATTATTATTATTATTTATTTTTTTAGGGTTTAGGGTTTCTATTCCTCATTCATCCTTGCAGATTGAGTATTGACATTTCATCACATGTTTCATATCAATGTTGTAATGAAACTTAGACAAGGGTCAATGCCCCATCTACAGGCACTTGGTTGTTTGGCACATGGAGGCATCAACTTTTTCTTGTTCTTTAGGAACACAGTAAACTTGGTTGCTGCCTTTGTCTGGCTTGTTTTGGGATGAAAAAGAAAAATGCCGTATAAAACTAAACTTATTTCAAGGTGGGTTCGCTTTCATTTACCCAAAAAGGAGGATTCACCTCCTATAACTGTATATTTTCAATTTGATAAGGTATATTGCATTCAAACCCAGAAGAAGAAGACCAAGGGTAGTAGAGCTAAAAATGAACTTGTACAAAACACAGAGTCTGACTATAAAACTGAGGATCCAGTTGTTCTATTAGGTTTGTTAGGATCGTACTATAACACACACTCGATCTAGATGAACACAAAGAACTGGATAGAGAAAATGCAAGGAGAATATTGACTAAAGGTTTTGTATTGATGACTACAGAGTAAGAGAGAATACAGAGAATATAGAAAGTACATTTTTAAAGCTCTGCCGGAGATATATATATATGGTTTAACTTACTATGTATAACCGTTGACTAAGCTGTAAATAAGCATCAGGCTCCATAACCTAACAAGGTTGATATAACCGTTGACTAAGCTATAAATAAGCATTAGGCTTCATAACCTAACAAAGTTGAGTCTGCGACTTACTTATAGCTTTCTAAACGGTTAGAGATAGTAATGCTATATATATATATATATATATATATAAAACTTACTGAACGGTTATCAATAGTAAAGCTGCTATATCAGGCTGTATATGTATGCACTGGTACTATGTCTAGGTAAAGCTGTACCGGTACTATGTCTAGGTAAAGCTATATATAAGAAACTGACCATATATACCCTTTATCAAGCAGTGCTTTGAAAATGTATTTCCTGTCTCCTACATTCTTCTTTCTACATACTTGAAGTTATCAAAACTTCAAACTTCAAAGTCAATATTCCTACTTACATTTTCTCTTTCCTATTTTTTGTGTTCATCTAGATTGAGGATGTGTTGTTGTGCGATCCTAACCGACTATAGAATGAATGGATCCTATTCAAGTAAGGTTGCAGCCAAGAAAACAAAAAAATCAGGCATGAAAACTTGTCCAACAATAGAGAGAGAGAGAGAGAGAGAATTTGTATTAAACACACAAAGAATCAGAGTCAGAGACTTCAATCTGAAACCATGAAAAGGGAGAGAGAGTTTGTATTAAACACACCAAAGAGTTAGTGTCCTCAATCAGAAACAACCATACAAATGCTTGATATAACTAAAATTAGCTATGAACTTGACCAGGAAGATGAAAAGTTTCATACACATACCAAGAGAGAGAGAGAAAAAAGATTAGCTCTGAACTTGAAGAAGAAGATGGAAACACTTGCATAAAGACACAAATGGGGGGGGGGGGGGGGGGGGGG